AGAGCGTTTTTCAGGGCTGCTCATCCACCTTTGGTGTTACCCAGCTGTCACCCAGCTCTCACCTGTGGCTCCAAGAAGGGGCAGCATGCACAATGACCACAGTCCCGTAAACTGTGTCGCAGATGGGCTAAACCAGGGTGAGGAGAACTGAAACCTGTCAGTGACTTAGAGGGACATCTACCCCAAGCACGTGAAGGCTTGGCAGGATGGATGGAGGAGAACAATCTGTTCCAGTGGCCATAAAGGCAGCTGAAGCAGGTGCCGTGGGATGCTCAGAGCTTGGTCAGACTTTGAGGATGCCAGGGTCATCTGCTGCATCCTGGGCCATCACCAGTTGTCTTGACTTTTGTTTTGCCACTGGACTTTGATGACTCCACTACTCTCTCTCACTTGAATCCAATTTACACAAAAGTCTAGACATCTCCCATGATGTCACTGGTTCTCTTGCATGATCAACAGGGCGAGTCTTCTATTACAAAGGCTTCCTCCTCTCTCTGCTGTCCATGTCCCTAGAACTATTGAGTAGCCACATGGAATAGGGTGCTTGAACAAGAACAAGTCCAAGGACCTGAGTTCGAGTCTAGTTTCTGCCATTTTCCCTTGGCCTTGGATATATGTCATTTGATCTCATTTTCACCAATAAAAAGAGGAGTTTGAACCTGTGAGGTCTGTCCTAGCTCTATTTTAGAGGCTTTGAAAGCCATTTAATACTTGTGTAAATTCTGAGCAAGTTACTTAACCCTTTGGGCCTCTATTACTGCAAGAAAGGGTGTGTTGGACTAGAAGGCAGAGCCTTTCAGTTCTACCGTGCTATGGGGTAGCTAGAAGAGGGGCAGGTGGTGGGCCCACAGAAACATGATCCTCCTCAGTAATAGCGGACAAAACCTTTGAGTTTCTCTCTCTCCACTCATCACTCAGAATCTGAAGTCGGTTCTCAAGCCCCGGGGCCTTGCAGTTGTGGGCTGGGGTCCAGCTTTGCAGGGGTTTCTGCCACAACTATTTGAATGAAAAGGGAGGTGCCAGGACTACAGAAGGGGCTGCGGAGGCTATGGGATCCTGTCCTCTTAGAGATTCAGTAAATGAGGCCCAAGGATATTACTTGATTTTCCCAAGGTCATAAAGGAAGCATACATCCCATCAAGCTCTTTAGGCAGCTAGGAGGTGCAAGTGGATAGAGTGCTGGGCACTCAGGAAGACCCAAGTTCAAATCCAGCCTTAGACACTTGGGCAAGCCTGTTTCCTCAACTGTCAAATGCGGATAACAGCACCCACTCTGCAAGGTTATTGGGAGGATCAAATGCGATAATGTTTGTAGAATGCTTAGCACGGGACCTGGCTTTATATAGCTAGATTTAATAAAGGCTTATTCCCTTCTCTTCCCCTCTCCCTTAATCATGATTGAAACCAGATCACCAAGTTTCTTTCCCAAGGTAAGTCTGAGTCCCCTGAGGTTCTTTTGGTATAATATGTGGGCATTTTTATGGTCTGTGAAATAGGTTACTGAAAGGAGATGGGAAACTGGCCATAGAGTTCTTTAAACATGAAGCAGCTAGGTGGCGCCATAGTGCACAGAGTGCCAGGCCTGAAGTCGGGAAGACGAATCTTCCCAAGTTCAAATCTGGCCTCAGACACCTGCTAGCTCTGTGACCCTGGGCAAGTCACTTCACCCTGTTTGGCTCAGTTTCCTCATCTGTAAAGTGAGCTAGAGAAGGAAATGGAAAACTACTCCAGGATCTTTGCCAAGAAAACCTCAAATGGGGTCACGAAGAATTGGACACAACTGAAAAATGAACAACAGAACATGAAGCAGAACCATCAGTGTGAACAGATTAGATGCAGATGCACTTAAAGGAAAGGAGATAATCTAGACCATATTTCAAGATTCACGAATTCGACCAACGTATATTGGACACTTAGATTTATAGGGATTATTAGGAGAGTCTATGAACAAATTTTTTTTGTTAACTTTCAATATAATTGATTTCCTTTATAATTGTATTTTATGCCTTTAAGAACATTTTGAGAAGGCGCCCATGACACAAAAATGGTTAAGAATCCCTGACTTAGAAGGTACTAGGGGAGGGAAATACAATGGATGAGAGGTATTTTGCCCCAAGTTTTCAACCTCCCAGAATTCCATGATTATAGGAGCAAAGTAGAAAAATTAAGATCTGAGGCTATGAACCATCATGGAAAAGAATCAAAGGGAAGAGATGCTTGGTTAAGGCAGGAAGTGTGAGGATAGGGAAGGAAAAAGTAGGACATGGCCAATCTTAGGCTGTATTAATGAAAATCACACCCAAAACAAGGGGAAATAATCCCACTGTATTCTGAACTGGTCAGACCACACCTGGAGGTAGTGTTCAGTGCTCGGTTTTACAGTTTTGGAGAGTTTTTGATAAACTGCAACATATTTGGAGAAGGATAATAAAGATGGTAGGTAGTCTGCAAACAGCACCATGAGGAATAGTTGAAGGAACTGGAGATGTTTAACCTAAAGAACAGACAATATAGAAGTGGATGGGATAGCTAACTTCCAGTATCTGAGGGGTTTGTCATCTTCATGAATACTTAGACCTAGTCTGTGTTACTCCAGAAAGTATAAGTAAGACAAGTGGGCAGAAGTTACAGGAGAGTGTATTTTAGATAGATCTAAGACACAACTTTGTAATAAAGCCATCCAAAGCCGGAATGGGTGACTTGGTGAGGCAGGGAGCTAGCTCCTTGTCCCTGGTAATATATTCAAGCAGGGGCAGAATGACTACCGGTCAGAGACACTGTAGAAGAGATTCCCATAGTGAGAATTGTATGGTCTCTTAGGTCCATTCCAGCTCTTAATGAGTAATGATCTATCCCAACATTTGTTGTTGTTCAGTCATTTCCACTCATGTCTGACCCCTTGGGGTGATCCCATTTGGACTTTTCTTGACAAAGGTACTGGAGTGGTTTGCCATTTCCTTCTTCAGCTCACTTCTTTTAAAAAATCATTTATTTATTTATTTTTAGTTTTCAACATTCACTTCCACAAGATTTGAGTTCCAAATTTTCTCCCCATCTCTCCCTTCCCTGCACCCCAAGACAGCATGCATTCTGAATACCTCTTCTTCTAATCTGCCCTCCCTTCTATCACCCCCCCCTTATCCCCTTCCCCTTCTATCTTCCTTTACCTGTATCTTATTTCCCAGTTGCATGTGAAAACAATTTTTAACATTTACTCTCACTGCATTTGGCTTAAGGAGGGATTAACATACACAGTCAATTAAGTATGGAAATCTATCTTACCCTACAGGAAAATAGGGAGGAAGGGAGTAAGAGACGGGGGATGATAGAAGGGAGGGCAGATTGAGGGAGGGGGTTATCAATCAGAAGCAAACACTTTTGAGGAGGGACAAGGTCAAAGGAGAGAAAAGAATAAAGGGGGCAGGATAGAATGAAGAGAAATATAGTTTTTCACAACATGGCTATTATGGAAGTGTTTTGCATGACTACACATCTATAACCTATATTGAGTTGCTTGCCTTCTCAATGAGGGTGAGAGGAAGGGAGAGAATTTGGAATCCAGCTCATCTTACAGATGAGACAGAGTGAAGTGCCTTGCCCAGGGACACACAGTAAGTATCTGAGGCTGGATTTGAACTCAGGAAGATGAGTCTTCCTGACTCCAGACCCAGTGCTCTATCCACAGTTTTGTTTGTTCAGTACTGGGGGGAGGGAAAGAACTAATGATCTAGGGTAGGGGTTCTTAACCTTGGGTCTATGGTCCCATAAGGGATCTGCAGATAAATTTTATGAACTTGGGTGGGGGAAAAATCTTTTTTTCCTTTAACTGCTACCTAAAATTGAACTTTTTCCCCAGTTAAAATTTAAAAAACAAATCATCACTCTGAAAAGGAGTGTATAGGCTTCAGTGTACTGCCAAAGGGGTTTGTTGTTCTATCTTTCATTTTTAAAGAAGATCAATGATATCACAGGTGATGTCTTGACTTTTTGTGAATTGAAGTGAGGCAGAGCTGTGCAGTCATCAGCCTCACTCTCTCTTCCTGAGTCATCAAAGTCCAGTGGCAGGATGCAGGAAAAGTCAAGACAACTGGCAATGTCCCAGGATGCAGTGGATGACCTTGGTGTCTCTCACACTTGACCCAACTCTAAGCACTCCACAGCACTGACTTCGGCTGCCTTCACGGCTACTGGAACAGACTGTTCTCATCTGTCTATTCACATGTGTGGGGTAGACGTCTCCCTAACCCACTGACAGACGATGCCTGTCGGTTACCCCAACCTAGTTTAGCCCGTCTGCCAAAACGGTTTACCAGAGTGTGGCCGCTGTACGTGCTCCAGCGTCCTGGGAGCCCCAGGTGAGAGCTGGGTGACGGGCGAACATCCACCAAAGGAGGGTGAGCAGCTCTGAAAAGGGCTCTGGCAAGCCCTGACACCAAAGCTCCTAGTCCTGCCTGAACACCCCACACATCTCACCAAAGGGGTCCAAGACACAACAGAAGATTAAAGGTTAAGAACCCCTGTTCTAGAGATATTCTGAGGGTAAATATCAAATTCACATGGCATAAGCAATGAAACGGACTTGATAAGGAATAGAAGGAATACAGATTCAAAAATAACATCATCAAAGAGAAGTGGGGAGATCACTGTTCTTTTACTCTTTTTAATGATTGTTGAGTGGGTGACCCATATCAGCTTCCCTTGGAATAGAGGGAGGAGAGATAACTGCAGCGTCTGGGACTTCTCATTTAAATGCCACCCACTGACGGAAGACATGGGAGTCGAGTTGCTTTCAAGCTACCCAGTCCTGCGGGTTCCAGTCTGCTCCTAAGTGACCACTCCAGGGTCTGCTGAACTGGCCCGCTCATGGGGCTTATGGTGGTGTTTATCCACCTGGACCCTTCCACCATTCCTAAGTTTATTCCAAGAGACTGATGAGAAATGAGTCCCTTGAAATTGCTCATATGCCCTACCCCCCTAAAATACAAACACAGCAGACAGGCAGCTTTGTAAAGAGAGTTTAGTAGCTAAATATGGCACAGTGTGTTCAGAGGATGGCATATAAATTACAGTATGTGAAACATCAACTTTGGCTGAGGCAAAACATGCCTCGAAACTCATACCTCACATACCCTCTAGGAAAAAAAAATCTTTTAAAAACCCCCCACCCCACCAGCTTATAAAAAGTATCCCCAGCACATATTTCCTGTCCAAATTTCCAAGTGAAAAGGTTATGGATCCTTCCATGCTGAGGGAGATGGGGGGGGGAGAAGGGAGGTTAGAGAAGAGAACAGGAAAGGTGTTATACCTGCCCACCTCATGCTCTACTCCCACCTCCTAACCTGCAGCCAGAGCTGCTCCCTACCAACACCTATTTCTGGCCCAGAGCTCTGTCTAAGTTCTTCTTGATTGTGTCCAGGAAGTCTTCGGTATTTATATAGTGCTCATTCAGCTTCACACTGCAAGCAGAACAGAGATAGTGAGCCCCTGGGAGGAGCACTTGCCTCACCTAGACCCCTGAAAGCCTAGTTGGAAGAGGTGTAATCAACAGAGAGGAAGACCAGCTACCAATGGAGGAAGGAACCAGGACTGAGCATGCAATCTAAGAAGGACGTAAAAACTGCATGCATTGTCCTCCCACCTCCATCCACTGGACACTTAAAACTTTGCCATGACACCTGCGGTTTATCACTGAGTAAATACTGAAGGTAATGGAGAACGTTTTTCTGGCATGTACTGTGCATGCATTTGTAAAAAAGTAGGATTCAAAGCATGACTTTCATCACACCTCCCTGTGTTTTGTGACCATGCTGCTTTTCTCATGGTTCTAGGGAGTCAGATGATCCCCGCCCCGCCACTCCCCAGGTCCCTTCTCCAACCCTTCCCTGTCTGGATGGCAAAGAATTCTTTGGATCCTGGAGAGCAGCCTTCTTGTTCCCAAGACAGGCTTGCCCAGGCTCAGAGGAAGAAGCTGGCAAGAATGTGGCCACCCAGGTTCAAGCAGAGAAAGCTTCTGGCTGCCAATTAATTTTTCAATATGAGGCCCTGGGCAGTCATTTAAAGGCCTGAGTTGTAGCAAGGATTTTGGGATTAAAAAAAAAGATAGCCCAACCAGAAAGGCCTCTAATCACCCCTCCTCACGGGGTCTTGGCACCCTTTTCTGAAGGGTTTAACAGCAGTTAAGCCCTAGGAAGAAGACTAGGACAAAGGGAGTGACCATCTCTTCTTTACCCTCAAGCCACACGGCCCCTCTCTAGCAATAAGAGGCTTGTGTATTTATCTCTGTGTCCAACTCTCTCCTTTTCCCTTTTTCTCCCCTCTTTCTTCCCTGTCTCTCTCTCTCCTCCCTTCATCCTCTCCTTCTCTGAAAGAATGCCCAGAATCCCCACCAACAGAGGCCACTCACTTGCTTAGCCCGTGGATACAGCCAGCGAGGTCCTTGGTCATAGCTCCGCTCTCTACCGTTGCAACACACACCTTCTCCAGAGTCTGTGCAAATCTGGGGAAGGTCATTTGGGGTTAGGACCCCAGCTGATCTGGAGCCAAGGACCTATTTCTCTCTATCCCCAGCTAGCCTCCTGATCAGGATCCCTGGATTAAGGGGTCAGGTTCACCTAACCCTTCTGACTACTATGCTTTTCTAGTGCTAGAAGCAGTCCTGCAACCAAGTTACCTGACCCTAACTAAGGCAAATACAAAAGAGTAATTTATTTACAGGGTCAGGCCTTACCTCTTGTGTACCACATGGGCTGTTTCCTCAGAATTTCAGTGGATTCTCTGGTTCAAAGGCATCATAATAGAGTCCTATGGGCTCCTGATCCAGGAGAACCCTATCCCAGCCCCATGGGACATTGAAGGCTACTGAAACACATACCCAACTATTCCACCAAGAAAATCCAGTAACTGGGGGAGGCTCTCCGTAAGCTGCCAGTAAATCAGGTAGTTAAAAGTGATATTAGCTCAGTGGGGCCAAAAGTAGGGCACCAACTAGAGAGACTGAAAGGCAAAGTGGGAGCTAGGCTCAGCACATGTGCTTCCCCCTTCTCTCATTGTCCCAGGCTTACTTGATCAAGTCCTGGTTACCATCCAGCTTTCCTCGGTGCTCTAAGCCTCTTGTCCAGGCAAAGATGCTGGCAATGGGATTGGTGCTAGTGGGTCGGCCCTGGAAAGAGAGGAGACATGAGAATAAAGGATGGAGGAACCCACCCCTCCAAAAAAAAATCCCTGAACAACAGATTAGACAAATAGCTCTGGCCAAAAGGTAGGAGGTCACGGCACCCACATTACACAGGCATAGGTCATGGCTAACCCCTGCTGTGTGGATACAGTAGATCTGGCTCTGGGTCCCTAGTGGTATCTGTAGCTGCTCAGAATCCTTTGTGGGAAGGGGGGCATTCCAACATAACTCCTGGAGGGGTCAGGTTACCCCACTCACCTTCTGGTGCTCTCGGTAATGGCGAGTGACAGTTCCATGAGCGGCCTCCGCCTCAATGGTCTTCCCATCTGGGCAGACCAGCACTGAAGTCATTAGGCCAAGAGAACCAAAGCCTACAGAGAGGAGTGAAGAGCCTTTTTTCAGCACCACCTTCCATTCTTCCCTCCTAGTCCCACTGACAATCAAAAGCAGACCTCAGATTCTCCAGTGTAACTGTCATTGTACCCAAGACACAAGCCAGCCCCTATACCTGACCACAAGGTAAGCTCCTCAAGGCCAGAGACAAGGATCTCATCTAAACTTTGCAAGAGATCTCCCCCAGTGCCTTACAATCCCTTGCACAGACTAGGTGCCTAATCAATCTTGGCTGAATTAAATTACTAGGGAGTGTCTATTGAGGGCCCCATCAGACCGACCACATGGCACTTCTTGTGCTATCAGTATCCAGTAATAACAGTTACTGGATATGCCCCCCATTCAGCATGCTTACCCTACAACTTTCTCCTCATTTTTTACAATAGGATGAAAAGGTACCCCCTTCAGTATGTGAGATAGAGACTCACACCCCATGGCCCTCCTTCCTTCCTTCCTACCCACAATGATTCCATCAATCTTGACCATCAATCCCCAACTAGTATTTCAGCCTGTCCAAGGCTGTTCATCAATTACCAGAGGCAGAGCTTAAAGGATTGAGTACAACCTCACAAAGCAACCTCAAGAAGAAGAGAAAAAAACATGACCTAGGCCGAACACTATCACAAATGGCTAGAAAATTATTTGCTATATTCCAATTTGCCTTTTTAGAATACTATACAGTGCTAAATTTGGCCAATTTGAGATTCCTCTCCTTCCTATACATTCAATTCAACTGAACAAATATTAAGCAACTATTAATGGCCTGTGCCAGGGCCTGGGGATAGTAAGAAAAATGAAACAAAAGCTTGCCTTCAAAGAGTTGACCTTCTGCATGAACACAGAAAACTAAATAAAAGGTAGTTTCAGGAGAGAAGAAAATACTAACGATTGGGAGACAGGGAGAGATCAGGAAACGCTTTCCATAGAACAGAGGTTCTTAACTTGGTATCTATAAACCTTCTTTTTAAAATATTTTGATAACTGCATTTTCACATAATTGGTTTCCTTTGTCATCCTACTTATTTTTATGCATTTGAAAACATCATTCGGGGTAAGAGCCCTTGCCTTAGAAAGTGACATGTGAACTAAGCCTAGAAGGAAGCTGAGGATTTTAAGAGGCAGAGGTGAGGAGAAAATGGGACTACAATCCAGGAATGGGAGGCTGGGGGTGCAGGGGTTGGGGAATAGCAATCTGTAGGAAGGCATAGAGATGGCAGATGGGGCCCTGAGTTAATAGGTCAGTTTGCCTGGAATGTAAGAGGGACAAAGGGGAGTAGTAAGAAGTCAGCACAGACAGTTAAGTGGGAGCTAGCTTGCAGAGGGGTTTAAATGCCAGTATAAATGCTAATTATGATTGGCATAACTTCTCCTCAACTCCCAAGTTGAAGTCCCACCAACAGACCCCTCCAATCACAGCCACACAGCCCTAGGAGAAGTCCTATTTTGAAACATCATCTTCAACATACCCTGGGCTAGTATATCAGATTGCACGTCGCCATCATAATTCTTGCAGGCCCAGACAAAACCACCTGAAGACTTGAGTACTTGGGCTACCATGTCGTCAATGAGTCGGTGTTCATACCAAATCTTGTTCTTGTCAAAATCTGTCTTATAGTGCCTGTGGAGGCAGAATGTCTGTCATGGGGAGTGGAAGTGGGATGAAATCAGTAAACCCGGGCCTGAGTCTAAAGAGGGGAAAGCAGGTAAAATGGGACCCTGGCCTGACACTGGGGCCATCAAAGAGCCACTAAGCCAGAGAAGACTAGAACGGGAGAGCTTTGACCTTCATCTGCAAAGGACCTAATAAAAGGGATGGATAAAAAAAAAAACACGGAAGACACCTCAAAGAGACACATTACTTGTCAAAGATTTCCTGGAAGATGTCTTTGAAGCGACCATCATAGGCCTTTAAGATGGTGTTCTTGGTGCTCATGTAGAGGGGCCACTTCTTCTGGATGGCATACTGGAAGCAACTATGTGCAAAACCTGAGATAGACTGAAAGAACAAAGATCAGGCCCTCAGCTTGGGCTTGTTGGCAAGCACTGTTCAGAACTGGACTATGCTAGTAATTCCCCTTTCACCCTGCAAGCCCAAAGCAATTGTGTGTTCGTGATTGGATACTAAGATTCTGGATGTCTGAGAACAGTGATTTATCTTATGTTACCAGGTGACAACCCCACCCATCCCTACTCTACCCTGGACTGTGACAGAAAGAAAATCTTTACTTCTTAGGTCAGGTTTACTCAAGGAAGAATACATTCTTATATTCCATATATTCAAAGTCTCTCTCTCTGTCTTTGGTTAAGAAATGTCAAACCCCCAAATCTGACTGGGGAGGCAATATGGTTCATGGTTCAGTGGGAAAAGCATGTGCTCTGGAATCAGAGAATCTCGATTCAAATCCTGCATCTGATGCTTACTACCTGAAAGACCCTAAGCAGGCAACTTAATCTCTCTAGGCCTCAATTTCCTCATCTGTAAAATGGAAGGGAGGAGGCAACCAGGGACCAAAAGACAGTAAAGTGAAGAGAATAGCTAGGGACGGTGTTCATCTTAAGACGTGACTCTTACCTCATCAGTGTTGTACATGCCCATGCCCACACCTCCAGCAGGGAAGTTGTAGACTTCCCATTGCTTTACACCACTGCCATCTTTTGGAGTAAACACCACCTTGAAAGTGCCCGCCTTGTCTACAACAAAGTCAGTGGCCTTGTACTAGAGAAGGAAAAACATAACTGAGTTACCTGGGCACTCCTACTGGGTTGAGCCACCTTCTAATTTCCCCTGTATATTCACCTGATCACCATGTGCATGCCTGCCAATCGTGATGGGTTTTGTCCAACCAGGAACAAGGCGCGGGATGTTTTTGCAGATGATGGGTTCCCTGAATACTGTTCCCCCTAAAATGTTCCTTATAGTCCCATTGGGGCTTTTCCACATCTTCTTTAGCTTGAATTCTGTAGAAAAAGCCAAAATAAACAGCTGGGAGATTGCAGCCATGACAGGCCAATTCATCCTACCCAACACTTTCCAGCCAAAACCAGTCTGGCCAAACCTAACAGGAAGGCCTAAAATGGTTTTGTGTAATGAAGGATAGGATTATAAATTTAGAGCTGGAAAGGAACTAAAGGATCACCTAATGCACCTATACTCTCTCCCCATACTCCCATTTTATATATGGGGAAACTGAGAGGCCTGGGAGAGTGAAGGGACTTGGTCAAGCTAATAAGTTATAGGGCTGAGATTCAAAGCCCAGATCCCCTGATCCTAACGTCAAGGGTCTTTCTAATCACCATGCAACTTCCTGGAATCACAGACAAGGAAGGGATAATTCTATCTTGGGCAGAAGGGTATAGAAAAAATAAGTGGGTAGAGATATTAAGGCAATGAATTAGGTGGGTGGGGAACAAATGAAGTCATGTCAAGGGTGGAGAATATATACAACAACTTTGAGGGGGTGGGAGCTGCAACTTTCTGAAATTCTTCTATTTATCGAAATGTAACATTTTACAGAACTGTAGAAAACACCCATAAGATCCGAGGTGCATGATCATGGACACATGGCTTTAATAAAAAAACAGACCAAGAAGTCACAGTAGTCAAAACTGGTGCCTTATCAGTTCTCTTAATTCAACAAGAAACAAATAAAACGCTTACCAAGAACACTAAAATATAGCTTTTACACAATAAGCACTTATTAAGCACCTATTATTTTACAAGGCACTAGGGGATACAAAGGAGGCGGCCAAGTGGTTCAATGGATAGAGCACTGGGCCTGGAGTCAAGACCTGAGTTCAAATCCAGACGTAGACACTTACTAGCTCTGTGACCCCAAGCAAGTCCCTTAACATCTGTTTGCCTTAATCCACTGGAGAAAGAAACAGCAAACCGCTCCAGTATCTTTGCCAAGAAAACCCAGTGGACAGTATGGTCCCCAGGGTCATGAAGAGTTAAACATGACTGAACAAGGGGATACAAAGGCAAAAATGAAACAATGCCTACTCTCAAGGAACTTATATTCCTATAACATAATAATAACATAATATAATATATCCTCTCTCTATCTAATATAATATATATCCTCTAACAAAAGAGGAGACAACAATATCAACAGAATACATACAAGATCAATCCGCACAGTGAGGGGAAAGGTCACCATAAGTAAGCAAAATGAAACACCAGAAAACTCCAGAGACAGCAAGCGACTGGATAATGGCAGGTTGTGCCATACTATTATGATTACTATTAGTTAGTATCTCTACTCCTAAGTATAAACAACATGATATGATGGTATGATGGGACACATGCTGAATGGGAAGTCAGAAGCCCGCATTTCTAGTACCAGCTTTGCCACCTAACTAGTTGTTGTAAGCAAGTCATTTAACCTTTCTGAGCATCAGTTTCCTCACCTGTGAAATGAAAGGGTTGGACTCAATACTCTACAAAGGTCCTTGCCAACAGCAAAACTGTATTTTTCTTAATGAATTCCCAGAAAGATGAAATGACTTCTCACTTTTATGTGATGGCTGGTCTGGCAAAATGCTGCTGCTCCATCCACATCTACCACCACCAACCCCTGCCCCCAATGCCTCACATTACACAGCACTTCACTGTTTTCAAAGCACTTGAGACATCCACCATCTTTTTAACGCACAGGTCTGGCCAGGCCATTCCTTTGCCCAAGCTCCAGCCCCCCATCCCCTCTAGGATAAAAGACTCTACTATTTGGCTTTTAAAGCCTTCCACAGCCCAGCTCTGTCGTGCACTATTCTCTTTTGGATATTCCATATCTTTTCAGCCAAACTGAACTACTTGTTCCTAGCTCCATGTCTTTGCCTTAGCCATATCAGTTGGAGTCAGTGCTCCCATTCACACACACGCACTTGAAACCCACATACCTTCCACACGGGCTTCATCCGGAGTGATGGTGGCACACTTGACGGCGACGCTATATTTCTGAGTGGCTAGTGCCGAGTCAATGGTGACCTGATCATCTGTCTGGTCACGGTGTGGGAGCCCCAGGTCAAAGTATCTGAGCTGTACATCCACGTGGGGTAGGATGAGCTAGGAAAGAAAGAGACAAAGTCATCGATTCAGTCAAAGAAAAAGAGCTCAGTGAACAGAGAGTCAAAGAGGAAGTTATCATAAGGAACATTAACTATCAGGGAAGATAAGGACAAGGGATGGACAGAAAGTACATTCAGGTTGTGCATACAGAAGTAAGCATCTGGGATACAGAGCACCTCATATATGCTGTCAGACTCCATCAAGGTGTTGATTACTTTTGTTGTTGTTTGCTTTTTTGCATTCTTTTTTGTTAAATTCTTTTACAAGGCATGGCTCTCTGAGTGAGAGAGGAAAGAGGGATAGATAACCAGGAACGAAAGCGATATAAAAACAAAATACAGAAATAAAGATTTTTAAAAGAAAGATAAATCTAAATAACAGTTTGATAATCTGGCACATTCAGAATGATCCTTAAACCTCAGGAAATGAGGGGTGGAGAACCAGCTCGGTCTGACAAAGTCAAACTCATGAGGAAGCACATAAAGGGCACTCTCCTCTGGTTGGTGTAACCTTTTCAGAAAGGGGAAGGATGCATTTGAAAATGAAGATGAAATAAAACCAAAATATATTAATAATTGTTTTTGTTAGCTTCCACATTTGGAGTAGAGAACAAAAAAAGTATCCGTTCAAAGGAAGCACCATAATGGAAGCCAGTTAGAAGTGGAAAGAACAGGGTATCTGGATGGTCAGCACTGTGGCTATTCATTGCTAACTTTATACTTGATATGGGAATTCACTCAACTCATTGCAGTTGTGGCCCATTCACCAAACTGGGCATCAGTGTGGTACAGAGGAAACACCACTGGCTCTGGCGTCAGAGGACCTGAGTTCAAAGCTTACCTTGAATGCTAATGACTTGGACAAGTCATTTAACTCCCTGCGGCCTCAGTTTCTTTCTTCATTTGTAAAATGAGGGCATTAGACTAGATGCCCTCTGAGGTCCCTTTTAGCTCTAGACCATGAGCAGCCTCATGGTGAAGCTCCTACAAACTCCAAGAAAGTTTAAGAAAGCCTCAAGCTTCCAGAAAGCCACTTCGGGGCTGAGAGGAGGACACTAAAGCTGACCGCTCCTAACAGTGTGAAGTATGGGCCCAATAATGAACTAACGTGGGTGTCATCTAAGAACCAGACTCACTAAGTTCAGAGAGACTCTTCATTAGGTCAGCTACTGGGCTAGGTGAGGTTTTCTGGCCACAGCAACTCACAAAGACCATGCGCTATTCTAAAGGAAGACAACTGTGATGTGCACTGGCAGAAGGAGAGCTCACATCAACAAAATTATTATAGGGGCAGCTAGGTGGTACAGTGGATAGAGCACCGGCACTGGAGTCAGGAGGACCTGAGTTCTAATCCGGCCTCAGACACATAACACTCGATAGCTGTGTGACTGTGGGCAAGTCACTTAACCACAATTGCCTCACTTAAAAAAAAAAAATGAGGCCCATTAGGTGGCCCAGTGGATAGAGCACTAGGACTAGAGTGAGAAGACTTAAGTTCCAATCCAACCTCAGATACTTTCTAGCTCAATGACAGGGGCAAATCATTTAACTTCTGTGTGCCTCAGTTTCCTCATCTGTAAAATGGGGATAATAATAATAGCACCTATCTCCCAGGGTTGTTATGAGGACCAAATCAGATAATTTTTGTAAAGCATTTAGCAAAGCACGTGGCACACAGTAAATGCTATGTAAATGTTAGCCATGTTGTTGTTTTTTAATTCCAACTAGGTCTAAGATACAGTGCTAAAGCACCACTGTCTAGAGACAGGAAGGACAGATGATCTGTCCTCCAAGACTAAGAACGCGAGTTCCACCAACACAAAACGGAGAAGGCGTTGGGGCGCGGCAGGCTGCTCAGGCCTTCCTCTACGCCTGCGTTCCTGAAGGCAGAGACACAGCAGGAAGAGCTACCTTGTCTTTGATGAACTGCCAGATGATACGAGTCATCTCATCTCCATCCATCTCCACCACAGGCTTGTCCACCTTGATCCGTCTGTCTGCATCTAGAATCCCATCACACACACACACACACACAATCAAATGCACTGGGGAGCAAACCGAGACCCGTTTCCACTCTCCAATCCCCCCACTGCCATCTGTCTTCCAGAAGACAATCCTCATCCTGCACCAGCAAGAGCTTCTGAGAGAAACGGCAGCTCCCAGGGACAGAACCCCAGAAGGTGGACCAAACACGTTCTTTGCAGTCACCCTGCGAGGAAGCAGCTGCAAGCATGAGTGATCTACTCATGGTCCAGATTTGTGATTTCATGATCTGTGTATGGAATTCCTGGGCAGGAAACTCCTCCCAATATAGATCAGCAAATGCTCTGCATTTCCAGTCTTAGAGAGTCGTTGGGGGCAGGGAGGTTAAGTGATTCTAGATCCTGCCTGGTCAGAGGCAGGATCAGAATATAAGCCTTCCTGACTTTATTTTATTTTTGTTTTGTTTTCAGAGGCAATCAGTGACTTGCCCAGGGTCACACAGCTAGTAAGTGTCTGAGGTTGGATTTGAACTGACGTCTTCCCGACTCCAGGGCTAGAGTAGCCACCATGCCACCCAGCTGCTGCTCTAAGTCTTCCTGACTTTAAACGCTGGCTCTCTAACCACCATCCCATGTGCCCTTTTCATCCTCATTTTATAGCTGAGGCTCAAAGAGAGTGACTTGTCTATGGTTACACAGTCTCAGAACTTAAATATCTACCCCATATCTCCTGACTCTAAATCCAGTACTCTTTCCAAAATACCACATTGCTTCTCAAGAGGCAGCTGGGGGTGGAGTAGATAGAGCTCTCGCGAGTCCAGGAAGACCTGAGTTCAAATCCAGACTCAGACACCTACTATCTGTGTGACTCTGGGCAAGATACTGAACCTGTCTGCCTCAGTTTCTTCAACTGTAAAATGGGGATAATAATAGCACCTGCCTTGTTGTAAGGATCACATTGAAAAAATATTCTGTAAAAGTACTTGGGCACAGTACCTGGCACACAGTGGTCTTAATATAAATGTTCATTCCCTTGCCTTCCCCTTCAAGTGTGTGCCCCCCCCCATACACATACATACACCCACATTCACATATACTTCTCATCCTAACTCTTTACAAAGGAAACTCTCTGAACAGGGGCTTTTTGACTTAAAATGGAGTTTCTTGAAGGTAGAGACATTTTCCCCAGTGTTCTGCCAAGCAGTTTATGATGTCATAAATATCTCTGGGCTCAGTGAGAATTATTGCCTATACTGAGAAGGTCATAACATGTAGAGGTATGACATGGCTCAACCTCTATTAATTAGGATCAGGCTAGCTAATACCTACAAGATAGGAACCTATACAGAAAAAAGAAGCAGGACAATCAGGTGGCTGGCCTGCCATGGAGAGGATGTAAACCAATCACTCAACACACTACAAAATCCGTTCCATAAAGGCTGTCTTGGGGTAATACAGAGAACAGTCTGACAAAGATGTAATCACATCAGAAGAGGAGAAGCAAGTTCCCAGAGAATCTGGACAGCATTCTGAAAGAGAATCTGGGGGAATCTGGGCCCTGGGAGAGAGGCACCCAGCAGGAAGCAGGCCTCTTATAAGGAAGCATCTGCTTGTGATTATTAAAAGCAGTCCATGGGGGAAAAAAAAAACAACAATAAAACACCCTCATACACAGCAGAGAGCAGAAAGGAGTTCAGAAGAGGACATAGACAAGCAGGACAATTTTCTTACTACCATATTAAATTTAATAACATACTCTTTTTTTAAACTTACACGTACATACACACTTTAAAAAATTATATGCTCTTTTAAAAAAACACACATGGGGCAGCTAGGTGGTACAGTGGATAGAGCACTGGCCCTGGAGTCAGGAGGACCTGAGTTCAAATCCAGCCTCAGACACTTGACACTTACTTGACCCTGGGCAAGTCACTTAACCCCATTGCCTAGCCAAAAAAAAAAATCCAAAAAAACCAACCCCCCCAAAAAAAATTTAACATAACTGGGGGCAGTAAGGTGGCGCAATGGATAGAGCACTGGCCCTTAAGTCAGGAGGACCTGAGTTCAAATCCAGGCTCAGACCAAACACTTGACATTTACTAGCTGTGTGACCCTAGGCAAGTCACTTAACCCCAATTGCCTAAAAATAAAAAAACTAAAAAAAAACAACACACATAACAGCTATTTCATATGCAATCCTTTTCTATTCTTTGTATATTGAAATGTTCATGTATATTGATGTTTAAGTTCATGATAAAAAAGAAAATTTATAAAAACATTTTTTAAAAGTAGACCACTTATTGAAAAATAGGCATAAATTACTAATGTCTATTAAAGAGAAATTTGGTAAAGCAAGTGCCCACTTAGCAAGGGATAGATGTAAACAGTTTAAGAAGGCTAGTCAAAGCAAAAACTATGGGATGTTAAGTTACAAGCTTGACCAAACAAATTGTAATGGTAGTAATGATTTATTATTATTATATTTATATAATAATAAATTATAATATATAATATTATATATAAATAATAAAAAACTTAAATAATATGAGATTTCTACTGACAACGTTACTGCCTGAGGAGGATATGAAGATGATAGTGTGGTGTGGTGGGAAGATCAGGGAGACTGAGGCCTCTTTCTGTCAGTTACCAGCTAGGTGACTTTGGGCAAGTCACTAAATGTCTCTGGGTCTCGGTTTGCTTATTTATTTAAAAACGACAGCAACAGCCACTTCACATTACTTATCTTTCAATGCTGTCATGAGGAAAGAACTTTGTAAACCTTAAAACACGACATAAATGTGAGCCCTTATTGTTCCAAATAAAAGGTAAAACACTCTATACATATTTCACTCCTTTGTTAACAATTAAAAGACAGAAGACTGACTTTGAGGCTATTTCTTCAGACTATCCAACCCTGCTGTTCCACCCAACATCTGAAAATGACACTTAATGTCATTGACGTTATGACACTCTAAACAGAGCAGAAGCTCTTAACTAGGGTCCTTGAACTTAATTTTTTTTTTTGTAACTGTATTTCAAAGTCATTTGAAATGCAATTTACTGAGGGAGCTAGGTGGTTCAGTAGATAGAGCCCTGGGCCTGGAACCAAGAAGATCTAAGTTCAAATCCAGCCTCAGACACTTACTGGCTGTGTGACCTTAGGAAAGACACTTAAATTCTGTTTTCTATAATCCACTGGAAAAGGAAATGGCAAACCACTCCAGTATTTCTGCCAAGAAAACGTCATGCATGGCATCGGTGTGCTACAGTCCATGGGGTCATGAAGAGTCAGACACAGCTAAATGACTGAAAACACAAAACGTTACGTATTTTATTTTATGCATTCAAAAACATGATTCTGAGAAGGGGTCCATAGGCTTCACCAGACTGCCAAAGTGGTCCATGACACAGTCCCTGGACTAGAGCTATCCTTTTCCCTAATCCTGGATTAGGGAATATATGGATATAGCTCAGGAGCTACAGAAAAGGTTTTAAATATGCTAGAGGTCACGTAATTATAGAATCTTGTAATCATTATAATAAATAAATATAGCCAGCAAAATAAATTCCCATACTGGCCATGTCCAAAAATGTGTATCTCATTCTATAAGTCATCATGTCTCTGCCAGGAGGTGAGCAGCATTCTTTGTCATCTGGCCTTTGGAATCACAGTTAATCATGGCACAGATCAGAATTCTTAATCCTCTCAAAATCATTTGTTTTTACAATGTTGTTGTAATAATAAAAACTGCTCTCCTGCTTCTCCTCACTTCACTCTGCATCAGTTAATACCAGTCTTCCCAGGTTTCTCTGAAATGGTCTCTTTCTTCTTTTCTTAAGAGCATTATAATAGCCTTCCATTACATTCATATACCATAATTTATTCAGACATTCCCCAACTGATGGGCACCCCTTGGAATCTAATCCTTTGTGAATACAAAAAGAGCAGCTATCAATACTTTTTGTACACCTAAGACCTTTTCCTCTTTCTTTGGTAATTATAGAACGCTGAAACTGGAAAAATCCTTAGAGATCACCTAGTTCAACCCTCTTATTTGACAGAGGAGAAAAGAGAGGCCCAGAATGGTACATCGACTTGCCCAAGGTCACACAGCTAGTTAGTGTCACAGCCAAGACTAGCACCCAGGTTTCAGCCTCTCTATTGCTCTTTCATTTTTCACAAGTTCTCTTATGAGTTAATCTGACAGCAGCCAATCAAAAACAACCCTAAACAAAAGAAAGAATCAGCTACAACTTTAAAAACCCTATACTGTCGAGAGTCACTCTGGGACATGGCATAGAGGTTTTAGATTCTGGCCATGCACCAGTCATTCATCAAGCGTGGGCGCTAGTCACAATAATTGTTATGGCTAAGTACACTGCAGAGTTCTTTGTCTTGCAGGCAAAAGGGCGCCTGAGACCCACAGGACTGGCACCCACAACAGTGGCCTAATGACCTATCCTTCCTGGTATGCCAGAGTTCACATGACCACAACAGTCCACACACCTAAGCCTAAGTTTACACTTAGCTTGACATACATTTGGGCCCATGGCAAAAGGTTATCCAGATGACCCCAAAGGTTTTGCCTTCATGCTTTAGTTGCCCAATCTGTGAAATGGGAAAAAAAATTTGCCCTCTAACCTCATGGGGATTTACTAGAAACAAATGAGAGTCCCAAAGGACTAATGATGAAACACACTATCTGCCTCCAGAGAAAGAACTGATATTAATTGAATATAGACTAAAGCATGCTATTTTTTTTTACTTTCGTTTCTTTTTCTTTTATTCGCGTCTTCTTGTACAAAATGATTAATATGGAAATGTTTTAGATAACTGCACATGTATAACCTACATCTGATTGTTTACTATCTCGGGAAGGGAAGGCAGGGAGAGAGAATTTGGAACACAAAACTTTAAATAAAATGTTAAAAATTGAAAAAAGAAACAAATGAGAGGAAATTGAGGATGTGAAGAAGGCAGTCTGAGCTCCCTCAGAGATTCTAAACACAAGGTTATAGAT